ATTCCTTGCTTCCTTGCTTCCTTCCTTCCTTGCTTGCTTCCTTCCTTCCTTCCGTCCTTCCTTCCGTCCTTCCTATGATCCACTGAGGATCTTGAAATGGCTTTTTTTACCGACTAGAATATGGTCAGTCTACTCAGCCATCTCTAAGTCAAGCATAACCATTCTGCCAAGGTGTGAATTGAAAATCATTAACACGAGAACTGAAGTCGGCGCACATCAAATTAAGCCGATATCCTAGAAACGGGATCATAACTCAACAATTTTATCTATTTTTTCCCCCTTGCCTTTCAACTAAGTAATTATTCGGTAGTCCCTGTGTTTTGACTGAGTAGAAATTTAATGGCCCTCCCCTGGATTCCTCCGATCCACCTCCCCCTCCCCCTGCTGAAAAATGAAGGCTCCCTTATATTCTTTCTTATTTTACACCGAAAAAACGAAAAAATAATTTACGAAATATCAATAAATTAATCTGCTAAATAAGTGGKTTTTTTTTCGCTAAAAGCACTAGCGCTAAAGAGTTTTTAAATCTCAGCCGCGTAACACCAAATCTTTCATGAAATTTCACGTTTTCTCCCTAAAATATTTATTATGGCATACCTGATGATAAACGTAGGAATCTTTGCTACTCCAAACTGTTTCTTTTCCTTGAATATTGGCTCTCGTGTGTGCTTCGGTTTGGTAAAGTGGTTTCCAACTTCGTGGATGATAATCTGGTGTTAAAAAGTTTTTTTTAGGAAGTTATAGATTTATGAACAAAACTGACGAGAAAAAGAGTCAATGGTCGAACAGAAGTCGGTATAGTGGCCAAGAAAAATCGTTTGAAAAACTAAGTATTGTTAGTACTACTGCATTATATGTTTCTTGGGAATATAATTTTTAATTCTTTTTAAATCGGAATTTTTTCCCTCAATCTTGAGCACTATCATCAGGCAATTACTCGTTCAAATCTGGCCCATTTGTACTAAAAAAATACAATTAGGGGGTGAAAATATTATCCAGGGCAGAAGAGTACTTTGATAAATTTTAATAGTCTGTGGACATTCAATTAATCATATGTGTAGCTATCATAGTTTGAAGTTATTTCGGTAATAAAACAGCAACTTAGATTTACAATTATATTATAAAATCAAATATAAACCAGGATATGTCTTACCACTGCTAAAGATGTAACGACTCCAGCAGAAAAAAGACCAGCAAAAGTAAGGCTTTGAGACTTGTACGGTTTCATAATACTTTGATCATTGCAGAAGAATCCTCGTTTGAACGGCTGGATGCCTCCTTTACTAAGAACCGTAAACTCATATAGAACAACATCTAGAATTATCACCCCAAAAAAGCACAATACTTCGATAGAAATACAAAAACAGCTGGTGGGGTACGCCATGTTGATAAATATACTAATAACTATTATTACATTATTAGCAAATGACAGATAATCAGAGAAAGATTATGTTGGATCTGTTTGTCGTATTGGACCTAGTGAAGCGAAAGTGAGGGTTGTCGTGTTCACTTGCTGTGCTCTTTTATCATGATAAAATAATTTGCATTTCTAAGTAGCTGATTTCCATAATGGTAGTTATGCTTTTGGCTAGACATTTAGCAGGGGAACCGACGTTTCAGAAACAGTTCCCGTTGATCGTGCAATGTTTCCAATAATAATTTTTTTAAATATAATGGATTGACAAAAAGTCGGACTTCCTTTTAAATAACTTTTGATAGATTACTAATGTCGCATCCAAAACCTTTTCAAAAATACTTTTTTCCCTTATAAGATACTTTCGATTGCAACAAAGTAATGTTTACATTTGTTTGTCATCCAGCAGAGCCTTACCGAGGGACGTTTGGTATCAACTGAAATAACAGAGTGGTTTTACTCAGACCGTGACATACCTGTAGTTAATATACCGCCAATGAAAGCTAACTTATTCAAGGGATAATTTTCCATCTGGATGGTTTGGCGAGGCGCTGTTATGGGTCATGAAGCGGAAACAAAATAACAAGACATGTTCATTGTTATTTATCATTTATTATTATTATTTTTTATTATTTATATATCATTGTTAGCCAGTAACAATTTCCCTCTTATATTTTAAATTATATTAGTAAATAATCTATAATAATAATGGTAACTTATAAGGAAAATGAAAGAATGGACGTGGGTAGATGGGAGAGTAAAATGGAATGTCCAACTCTCTAAATATTTTCCAAGATTCAGCGAGATTCCTGGTTCTTTCTTGGTGTTGCAGGGCATCTGAGCCACGAAGACAATAAAACAATAGCTGAGAACAATGAGTTTGGAACTAAACAATACCCTGCAATACGATAACCCAACCCAGAATACAATACATCTTGCAACACCAAGGAAGATCCAGATTTCTTTAGCATCTCTACAACTGTCTGTTGTGCGATAGGGACCAAGGTGGGTGACGTAGCCACTATGGACAGTGCACTTGCCATACTCACGGCTTTGGGATCTCCGGTTTGATTCATATTGACGACTCTTAAAACTCTAGCGTATATGCAGGCTTTGCCTCGAATCCAGGAGTTGCTTGTTTTGTTATTCTGATTTCTGCTTTTGTTTACCGACCTCAGTAGTGAGGCTACGCCCGCATACACTGGAGTTTTTAGAGTCGTCAATAGAACTCTTTCTTAGAGTGATTTTCATATGACCGTGAAAGAATAGGCAAACTAATAGTTAGTAGTAGACTCTAAACCAATGATTTTCTTTTGTTCTTTATCAACTATTACAAACTAAATGGTCTATTTTCTTTCACGGTCATATGAAAATCACTCTAATACAAGCTAGTACAAGTTATTGGTCATTAGACTTCAAACAATAAAGTAATAAAATACAGTWAATAAACTTTCACCGAATAGAGTGCAAACAATATAACCGTGATACTTTAGTAATACTAAATAGCACAATTTCATGCAAATTCCATTGTTTTCTATTGTTTAACTAGTACTATTTTGTACTATTTAGTAATTAATGTTTAACGGATTAATTGTTTGCACTCTACTTTAATTGTCTCGCYAATAACTGCTATTACACATTATTATGCGTTAATAGAAGTTAATAGCTAAACTTTGTTTCACTAGTTATGAAAATCACTCAAAGTTAAAAAGTTTTAGAACTAGTAAAAATAATATGACCTTATTTAGCGAGAGTAGACTCTCCAAATTAAACTAGTGCCCAGCTGCTAATGCTAATACTGCATGATATCTATTATTATAAACCTCTAATATTTATTATTTATYGAGTTCTTCTTTGCTTTTCTCTGTCGGTTTATTTACGTCTTCATCTGGTAACAATGTATAAGTTGGAGTTTGGGCCTTTGGTTCTTCAAACAGCTTCATCGCTTTGACTGCCTATAGTAAGCAATGCATAGTATAAGATGAGAAAACGTGGTTCTCACTGTTCATGTGCACCGCGCATGTGCACTGCGCAGCACAAACACTGTACAACGACAGTTACAYGCATTTCTACGAAGTTTGCTGAGCATTCTGGCCTTTGCATGCAAATGCACATTATTGCGCTAGCATTCAGTTTAAAGGTTCAGCTCAGTTTGAAAAGCAGATTAGATTTCATGGCAGCCATTTTGTGTACTAGGTTGTTTTATGCCTTTGGGTAAAAAAAGGTTTCTAAAGCCATGTGCATGGGCACTGCTATTGATCTCGGGGCCTCTACTTCGAGCAGACCAGAGACTGCGCGTTGTGCCAAAGACCAAAAACGTCACCCGTAGATGTCGCAACGTTTCTGATGGCAAGGGGTGAAAAGGAGTAGCGGAGAGACTGATGACACCAGTCATTGACGAAGCGAGGTTTATTAGACCTAAGAATATGGCGGGAAACTCTAACGATGAAACGCGTACGCGCGTGTATTGGCGGGAAAATGGTACATGTAAGCCACACTCCTCTCATCAGTTGCTTACCACAAGCCAGGCAGTGAACGCTCCAATCAGAGCACCAGCCACCACGTCACTCCAATGATGATAGTAGTCTTTAATCCGTAACAGACCGACTGCGATGGAGAGAAGAAACAGCTTCACTTGCATTAAGAATCTAAACATTTTGAATTTTCTGAGATAGACAATTGCTTGGAGGCAGATCTGAAAAATAAAGTCGGTGTTAGCCGATAAACATTTACAGCCGTTTTAAACATCTGGTTTTCACTTGCAACACGAGTATAAGCATAAAGGCACACTTAAACGGAGCGACTTTCATTGCAACTTGTGTCGCAACCCGGTTGCGACACAACTGGTTGCATCAAGCATTGCAGCGTGTAACCTACAGCGCAATTTGAAAAAACTGTTGCGAGACAAGTTGCAGCAATAGTCGCAAAAAGTAGAATTCGTTTCTACTTTTGGCAACGAACGAGTCTCCGTTGCAACGGTGTACACACTCATGCAACTTGTGACGCAACGCTGTTGCGAGACAGTTGCAGAGAAAATTGCTCCTTGAAATCGTGCCTTAAAACTGTGCGCTTATTTTCGCTTTGAAAAACTGCAGGGATTTTGGTAGGGATACGACAATAGCCCACCTCCGAGATATGCTTCGCTTGTCACGCACAAAGGTTTCAGTGTGAGGCTACGTGCTAAATGCTCAGTCATTCGTGACAGGCAGTAAGAATAAAATTAATTGAGTACGTAGCCTCATACTGAAACCTTTGTGCGTGACAAGCGAAGCATATCTCGGAGGTGGGCTATTAGCCATTACGAGGTTAAGGAAGAGAAGAAGACTGGATCGAGTTGGCATTTCAGTGCATTGTGGGACTGTTTTAGGGGACGAAATAGACGCCATCTTGGAAATATGTCCCATAAAACAGCCCCACAATGCACTGAAATGCCAACTCGATCCAGTCTTCTTCTCTTCCTTAACCTCGTAATGGCTAATATTAATCGAAATGCGACTCCATTTTCATTTTTATAACGTAAAATTTGAAGAAAAAAAAGATTCGTAATTACAGCAATGAAGACCAGACTGTAGGCTGTTGAAACGGTGTGAATGGAAGGGAATGAAAGCCTGAAAGAAAAAATGGAAAAATGTGAAGCAACACGGTCAGGGTAAGGATTGGTTGGATTGGATTTCACTTGAAATCATTACCGCCGATGTCTCGTGCGAAATATTCATCAGCTGAATCGCAAGCTTTTGCCATCAAGCACATTTTCCCATACAAATCCTTAGAATAATATTCGGTTTTATATTTAATGCCATTTCTGCTATAGTCAACATTATAAGCTAAAACTTTGCCTTCTTACTAATATTGAGCGTGCTCTTTCCATTTCTGGTGTTCATTTTGACACAACGTCTCTTTTTACGGGGGGTAGGGTCACGTAACCTGTTGCTGCAAAAGGCCTATTGGAACCTATTGTTTAGTCCTCCACAATGAGCTGCATTCCGACGTGCTGCAAGGGGTCTATTACCTCAGTTTTCCAAARTGAATAGAAAATCTGATAGAAAAACTGCCTTGTCATTTCCGTAGCAAAAAAAGAGACCTATGTTCATACCTTGCGTTCTTGATTTTCAGAGGGTCACCCGTACAGACATCAGCTGTAATATATCCAGTACTGCAGTTGAACAGGGTTGCATTGGGTTTGCACACGGCAAGAAAATGAGGTCTCAATCGACCAGTAAGGAGTTGTAAAACATCACAGAATACCAAGACCGCTGCCATGCCTGTGATAAAGAAAGCCATACGATGCAACATCCTGCGAATRAAAACGGCCAAAGTCAGTCCTCCGTGTTTTTTTTATATAATAGACATTAAACCAATACGGTAGCCTTTTCTTTCGAATAAGTCCGACGGTATTTACGAAGAAAATTCCGGATGTGACTCAGTACCAATTTGGCGGCCATTTTATTGTTTTTATTTAGGCATTTTGCCGATGCCGAGGGGGGCAATTATTTTAAAATTTATGGACTGCACAGCTGTCAGGGTATCTTTATATATAACTTTACGTTTTTCATTGAGAAGCACAACTAAAAAGCAATAAGCCACTTGCATTATAGCGTCATTCATTTACTGTTTCAGTAAATAGGTCTATTCTCGTATCCCGGCAGGTCCTCTGGTGGAACATCATACTTAGAATGAGTAAGAGTATGAACATCGAATCTGCCATTTTGATATTTTTTTATTTATTTAGTCTACTTTTTTACAGTCAACAAGCATGACTAAACCAAAAAATGCATGAATTATACATAAAACCTCAAAGCCACGGAACCATGAATTTAGAAATATCGTATAGAAGATATAGGTATTTCTGAAATATTAGAAACAATTATAAGAATATGCGCGCCGATTGACCGTAGCCTTGCTACCAAATAATCACGCAAAATCGCCCTAAAAAGTTTAAGTATATATTTTAATCATAAAGCTAATATAAAACGCTCAACTGAGCCTAGTTTTCACTTGCGACGAAATCAGAATCCGCAGTTAGCCACCTTGTATGGCAAAGTAAAAAACAAAAAAATGAAAGGAGTTGGATTTGGATTCAGAAACTTGAAGAAGTTTCCCATTGTTTTGGCTTTAATTACTCTTCCGACTCCCATTCCGACTTCGATTCCCATCGATAGTCGGAAAACCAGAGAGACAATTTCCAATGCAGTTACAAGCTTCAATTATCTACACAGAGTCACATATATTTACGATGAAAATATACTTTTTACGTGTTTCAATGAATCAAAATTGACATAATGTCTATAAAAAAAGCATTACTCATTTAGATTAAGACAGAAAAATCAAGTATATCCTAGCAACAAAACCAACAGACAACAATTTTTCAGTCTTTCTATTTTTTCCCGATCCTCACGATTTAATGAGATAAGAGCGTATGGTAAACAGCTTAACACGTTTTCTTCTTTTTCTAACGTGTTTTATCACTTTCCATAATTAGTATATAGAGTGTTTATATTTTGTTTTATTTTAAAATTTCTTATAATTTTTATAAAATATCGATATATTTTTTTAGCTCTATCTAAATTTTTTAGATAGTTCGGTGATCAAACTGTTTTCATATGGGTTCTGAACTCCGTAAGGTCCTTATGGCTTATAATTAGTAAGTCATCTTTTCTTCTTTGTCATTAAATGAGTTTTACGCAAAATGTGTCTAATTCATCAAAATCTAAATCAGTGTTAAGCTTCATTTTTTCAGTTTTATCTTCTTTTTTTTTTTTTTTACCTATAATTTTATTATTATCGCCATGCTTGGCAACGTTCTTACTTTTTAATTTTTTTTTTTTTTTTATCGCTTCACTAATGCGGAATAAATCTAAAAACTACATTAAATCCCAGTTGCTTCGCGTAAAAAACTAAACGATATCCGATATAAACCACTATTGTCTATTTATCAAAAATAATAAATGATAAATAATACCTGATGATAAACGTAGGAATCTTTGCTCTTCCGAATTCTTTCTTTTCCTTGAATATTGGTTCGCGCGTGAGTTTGGGTTTCGTAAAGTGATTTCCAACTTCATGAATAACAATCTATCAAGAAAAAAAACCGTAAAAATACAAAGTATTGTAAAGAAATAAAGATGAATTTGTTAAACATTATTATGAAATTATTGTGACATTTTCTTAACAAGCTGTCGCAGTTATTAACGAGAAAACGAAATCATCTTGTGCTCAGAACAAAACAACGCTGAAGTCATATATACAAAGTAAGTCTTACCACTACTAGAGCTACTACGACTCCAGCAGAAAACGTCCCTGCTAAAGAAGTGCTTTCTTCTCTAAAGGGTTTCATAATACTTTGATCATTGCAGAAGAATCCTCGTTTGAACGGCTGGATGCCTCCTTTACGAAGAACTGTAAGCTCGTACAAAACAACATGTAGAATTATGACTCCAAAAAGGCACAGCACTTCGATAGAAATACACAAACAGCTCGTAGAGTACGCCATGTTGTAAAATACCAATAAGTATTATCAGATTATTAGAAATTAATAGGCATGGTTATCCGAAATCCTTTAAGGTTCATTATGCCCAGTTTTAAGAGATTTAGTGAGGTGTTCACTTGATCGATCTGAATTTGCATTGCTAATTAGGTACTTAAACAGAATATATTTTACCATTGGTTGCCCCAGTAGACAGACCCTAACCACAATGACGTCGTTTCATACTCATCATACAATCCTTTTCAAACTCTCTATTGATGGTTTTCACGGCGGCCATGTTGAAGGAACTTAACAAAAGAATTGTCAATGAATTCTTTTGTTATATCCTCCAACATGGCCGTCGTGTCTTTTGTTATTTAATTCTCTTGGGAATGGTTGAAAACCAGCAATACAAATGTAAAAACTGATTAGCATAAAAAGGCTGAAGGGAATTTATTCTTCTTTGATAGCGCGGTCACGTGATGGCAGCCATGACAGGAGTCAACAATAGAGTCTTTTCCCCCTGGGAAACTGAATTCTTTTTCTTGGAAATCGATAAATTTCGTCATCACCTGTTTACTGATACGACGACCATCATGAATTATGGGATGCCGAGGGGGCAAACACGAAGAAAATATATAAAGCATAGAGTCGCGGGGTTTGGTTTCCAAATGATTTGAAGTCTTGATGTTTCGCATATTGTTCCAACTACCATCAAAATCAAATGCTTTCTATGTATTGTTTCAAATACGAGTTGCTGTATTCTATTGGGGTTTCAAAATCCGAGTGGATTTTCAAATGCCGAGGCGTAGCTTAGCCGAGAATAGTCTTGACACAGTCTTTTCCCTCGACCTCGGAATGGATAATACGTACGGTATCGTTTCTCGGATATAGTGTTTGGCCTCTACCACTCAAAGAGAGGATCCACTCCACTCATATACGTTCCCAGACTCGTACTCGGTCGTTTCTCTTCTCTTATTGATCTCAAGCTGTGGTTGATGGGAAGGGTTTAGTAAGTTCGCGGTGCATCAAGGGAAAAGCCTTGAAAAGCCATCGCGCGCATTAAAAAAGTGACGACTGGGTACAAGTCTACCATTTTAATACAATAGGTAAATTACGAGCCTTAGATGAAACCTCTTTAAACCATTTCGATACATATTATCAACAATCTGCAATGTCCCTCCCCTTCCCTCTCCCAAATCCTCCCTATCCCCAGTTACCCCTCCCTACCCAATGTACGGAGAGAGCCTCGTTCACAGGCCACACCTGTTCAGTCAAGACGGTAGACGGCAAACGTAACCACATTTTCAAAGTTTTCCTGTATTTAAAGGATACTCTTAAATACGGCAATTTGAAAAAAGGATTCTCTTAACTGAGACTCTACCACCAGGGTAGTTTCCCGTTAACGTGAATCTAAAACTCTCTAAAATGGCAAAAGCCCACAGTCGTTTTAAAAACACCTTTAAAATCTAACTGTATAGAATTTATTCTAAGCCAAATATATATAGAAATCACAAGAACGAGATTTTAAGCCTGAATTTTTTTAATTACTGAAATTAACATCACTCGTTTTTACAAAGGATGCGAGGCCTCGTCTCTGCTTCTTAAACACTGTTAACCATAATTAACCTAAGTTGCATGATACATCCTAGTCTAAAAAAGTGAGCAACTGCATTCCACAAGACACTGGGGTGCTCGACGAACAATTCCCATGTCACACCACGGTACGCCAACCTATAAAATATATAAAAAGAATACAACAAACGTTTCGATTTTCATTGATTTAGAGTTAGTGTTTGTCTACGGTTTAATGTTAACGTTTAATATCTCCACTTTTATGATTTAGTTTAGATGAATCTAGAGTTAAGTTTGGTTTTAAGTTTAGATTTTGTTGTATTAGTTTGCTTTGGTTTTGTTTAAGGTTACAGACTTTAGTTTATGTTTTAGTCAGGTATTCTTGAAGGCAGCCTCTGATATCTTCCTCTAATAATGGCAGCTGGAAACTCGGTTTGCAAGGTCCACAAAACCCTTTTACACTGTAAAAAAAAAAAAAAAAAWAATAATAATCCAAAGTTAATATTAAAAAGAGTCTGGACATCATGCAAGGAAAATTTAACTTGGAAATTCCCAGTGTACTCCGTTGTCATGGTTACATAGATAACTGATAACGGTGCAGTGCGGGTCACACACGTCTTATGTTAGCTGGAATCTCGGCCTTCTGTTCGGCAAAGGGAAAACCTGGAAATGTAAAAGAACTTTGATTTCCAATGAAAAGGTTTGGAATTTAAGCGTAATTCAATTTCAAATTGTTTACTGTGGTGTTATAGGTGTACGCGTTGTGGTTACGTCTTCATGAGCAGCGCAAGTACTGAAGTGGGATAAGCTTCTGGTTTCTATTTTTTTTAAATCGAGACAAAAAGAAAGAAAAGAAGGAAAGAAATATGGAATTAGTACTAGTTAAACTCACAGTAGTTCACTTTCACGAGAAAAACAACCGTTAAATAACGGTTCAACTAAGAATAGTCCCTTGCACAGTTCCCTCCACCATCTTGAAAAGTAGCCGTGCCTTTGCATCGAAGCGGGACGAACTCTGCAAGCTCACCGTTTGTCTTGTTTCGATGCAAAGGCACGGCTACCTTTCAAGATGGCGCCGGGAACTGTGAAGGGGACTGTTATTTAGAAATGGTTTGTACAGCTCAGCATAGCGGGTGCAGAGTAGTGACTATAGTCTCTCCTAGTCTGAAACGAGTATAAAAAAGAATTTTAGTAAATACCTGAAACAGAATGGAGGTCAAAAATTAGTATAGTTAATTGGTCTAAAAAGAAGAGACGATCGGAGCACACAAAGAGACCCACTAAAGGCACAAGGTGAAACCAATGCAAAACAAAACCCGGAGATTTTTATTTAGTCAATGTTCGGTTACAACACGAGTCAATCACTCAGTAAACTATACAAGAATCTAACTAACCAAAAATTGCTAGAACTTTATTGACAACGGCGATTTACAACTTGAAAAACTAATTGTTATTCAGCTTTTCTGCAAGTTATAGTACAAGATTTTTAAAAGTCGTTTTACCACCAAAAATTAATATAATTATGCGCATGCGTAGCTAAAAAACACTGAATTCTCATCTGTAACGAGAAAAGAGAAAGGTTAGTATAAAGAACCCTGAAAGGGAGAAGTTAGACAAACTTAAATGGAGCACAGAGACTGTATTTTTGAAACGAGAGAAATAAAGAGTTTAATAATCCTGAAACAAAACTGTTAGTTTCGTGTTTTTTAAAGTAGTCAATTAATACTAGATCTGTAGAGATACTGAAAAACCTGTGTAAACTGTACGAGTGATTGAGTCGCCGACAAGAAGACGAAAGGGCGCTGGATATTCCACGAGATCTCAACAGAAGTAAGCGAGCTGTGTCAGCAGCTCATTAAAAATAGGGTCACAAACCCTACCGTAAAGTACTTACAACCACCAGCTCAGAAATATCCAACTGGATCCCGAAAACCCACATCCATACAACACAGGATGAAATTATTGATAAACTATCACAAATTATTTTAAAAAACATAAGTTTATTAGTATATATACTCTTATTTACAGCCATGAAAAAATGCGTTTTGTCGAAAGTATAGGAGTTGTGTACAACTGGATACAAACTACTCTTTGAAGTAAGAGTGAGTATTCATAATAAATTTAAATAGCCGAAATTGAATCGAAAAGGGGGTAGATATTCCACGAGATCTCAACAGAAGTAAGCGAGCTGTGTCAGCAGCTCATTAAAGATAGGATCACAAACCCTACCGTGATATACTTACAACCATTGGCTCGGGAATATCCACTTGAACTGGATGAACTCACAGAACCCACTACCATACAACACAAGATGACTTTACTGTCAATTGTGACCATTAAATAAATCAATAATAATAATTGATAATAATTATCGTAATTATTAACCATAGCTTTATTACTTTGTACTTCTCTTAGTTACATGCAGCAATGAAAAATTAACCTATACAATCAGTGTTGACTTTAATCTATAGTTATGAATATCAACAAATTGTAATCACTTAAATGAATGAATTTCAGTTTCACTATATTCTAGTTTTCACTATATTCTATATCTAAAGTAAGATAGGAAAATCTCAGCCATTTGTAGATATGTTGAAACTATGATATCGAAGCTTCTTATAGTTATGTTGAGAACACTACAGTTTGACTAGACGAATAGCACACTCACTCACAGACCAAACACGATTTTACTATTCCTAAAAGTCAATTTGAAGTCAACTTAGAAAACTAAGTTGCTAAATTATGTAATATTTCCAAATACAACCCTAGCGAAAGCCGTATGGAAATCGAAATGCGGAAAGCCGGGCCGAAATAACAAGACACATAACGCAAAGAAGTACCTTAGATGATAATCCTGTTTCACGATTGTTTTTCAAAAAGAAAAATCTTCGAGCCCCGTATTTTGAGAACAAAACAACAGGAGAGAATTGAACACGTTTGCTGTGAACAATTATCAATATTTGTATCAAATAATAATATTGAATCAAACATTGAAAGACAACAATAATCAATATATAATTAATAATAATAATAATAATTAATATTATAATGATAGAAAATTCTAGAAAATCCTAGGCTAAGAAGCTACCACTGATTCAAGCTATCGCGGGCTCGCAACCAAGTTTGGTTGTTCTTGTGTTGACTGAAAGACAAGTTGAATGCCACGACGAAGTACCACAAAAAAAAAACATCAATCATACGAAGATACTGTCGCGACATTCGGTGAACGAGGTTAGTACTAATAGAAGCTCTGGAGGATCGGTTATTTCAATGACACGTGTGTAGCCAAGGTTTGTTGTTCGCGAAGAAAAATGAAGGAAAGAACGAAGATAAGGAATAAGAAAGAAAAGCAGAATAAAAATGAGTTAATCCGAAGCAATGCCAATTTTTTCAATTTTTAACCGTCTAGTAAACAAAAAGCCAATCTTAAATTTAGATGGTACGAGAATGGTACAATTAATTTTCCATAATCCAAGACCAGTTCCCAGGTCCCTCTTGCCTGCTCCGCGCCCCTTTTCCGTTCGTGACTCCAGAGCCGACAAAAGGGAACCCAAAAACAAGACTTTGGTCAAACCTTGACTGTGCCAAAGTTATTGATGTTGCAGGTAACCAAGCAACCAGTCACTTTCCCCCTCGCTATCGTGGAGAGAAAAAGTGACAGTTCACCTGTGTCACATAATACATGGCCGGCGCTAATCTTAGAACCGAAAGACCGAACTAAACCCTAGGCGCAGTTTTAATGGTGTGTGAGATGAAAAAACCGACCAGCACTGCATAAGAAATAAATAACAAATCCTCCATTTTAAATCAAACAAGACGTATTGAATAGATTTGTTGATCCAGGTCGTCGTCTCCATCAGGTCGTCTCCAGTGATGTCCAGCGTTGCCTGATTGAAAAACTAACCTAGAATTGGCCAATTGACCCTGGCAAATGCCAGTCAAAAACACTAAACCCCACCTAAACTTACACGTGGTAGCTTCACCTATATATATTTTTAGGGCTTCGTATACTCAAAGCCCTTGCTAATCCTAGACCTAGTCCTAGTATTATTTTGACTTAGTCAGATAGTCAGATGAAAAGCCAAAATTTATGGACAAAATGTTTTGGAAATGACTATTGCAAGTCAAAGAAATGTTTTTCAATGTTCCATATTTGATTTAGGAACGACCAAGGAACCCCCTTCATAAAGACAAGACACTGATACCTCGAGCAAGTAGAGAGAAACGTAAACTCGAATGTGCCAGCAATGAAATTTTGGTTTTGGGTCAGAAACAGTTTTTAAAACTTGCTCAAGAATCATCGTGTCAACTCTAGTTACTCTTTTTATAGTTGACCATGTGTAGTGAAGCTTGCTTGAGGCAATGTACCTGAAATGAAGATAAGACAAGCTTGTATCAATACGTGGCTATAAAACTACAAGAAAAGTTTTTTCTTTAGTTAATTAAACGGTCAATACGTGAAAATAACATTCGTTTTCACATGCTAAACGTGGTCCTCATTGTTAAACCAAATGTAGTTTTTAAACCGGTACGAACAGCAAACTTATATCATAAGTTTTGAAAGTGCAGTTTGGTTAATTTTTAAAAACTTGCACGTTGACTATCTTTTAAAACCACCTCTCTCTTTGACTTTGGCTAAGAACAAAGTCTCACGGCGGCGAAAAAAAGCTTTTGGTTCATCCAAATCAAGAGAGCTAGAGGACAAGAAGCTTGATTTCGAAGATATTTTTGAAAATATTGCATTGCAACACCATAGAATATCGGTTGAATTTTTTGAAATATTTATTTAGATATAAGTTTTCTTCTAGAATTTTACTTTTAAAGATTATTATTCACAAGAAAGTTAATAAATGTTTTGAAATAAAAGGGTTTGATTTTCAAACTTACCAATGTTCAACAAACTGTTCCAACTAAGCTCGCACTGTGAATGAAGAATCTGAACTTAGGCAAAGTTATACAACTCCTGATCACCTGATATTCTTATGTCAATCACATTATTTTGTCCAATCATATGGTGCTATCAAGAAATACGTGGAATACTCTACTTGTGATTGGTTTACAGTGATTCACAGAAGTGAGAAGTCATGCTGGCTTGCAAAACTTGTACATACCTTATATAGTACGTTCAATCGTATGGTGCTATTAACGAATCATGCATGCGATGATGCACACGTGGAATACTCTACTATGCGGAATGGTTTACAGTGTTTCACAGAAGTGAGAAGTCATGCTGGCTTGCAAAACTCGTGCATACC